GTTTTTTGTATTAATTGCCGCATGCATTCTTATGTAAAATGTGAATACTATAACTATCAGATGGCAATTGTGAGTAGCTTTGACGTGGTCTAGTGTTTTGAGTAGTCATGCTCACTAAAATGTCCAGACTTGTGGCGGCGTGGTGGGCCGGGTCATTGGGCTCCCTAAAATATGGTCGAGCGCAGTGATGGCTGGCTCATCCGTCATACTCGTGAACGGGTGCTGCTTGTAGGGACTGGTCTGCTCTAATCACTATGACTGATTTCCTCTTATTAATTGTTTAACCAGTTGGTTATGTATTCAATATTTTTTTTCTTTTTGAGTATTTAATTGAATTAGTGCTAATTGGTGGTTTGTATTCACACAATTAAACTTGAAAATGTAAAGTAATAATAAAATTATTTAAAAGAGCAACACGCAAGTTTCTTGCTCGTTCTTCTTGTGATGAGACAGCTTTCCGAACGAGCGGTAGATTAAAAAAAAAATGTAATGACTTTTCAAAAGTGCTTCAATGTAAGTTTATTTGAATAAATGATTTCTATTCTATTCTATTCTTCTATCTAGGCGACTTGCAGTCTCTCAGAGTCTAACAAGTCCAAATAGTCTAAAATATTGAGATGTAAGGGAGGAAGGGATTGTTAGTAAAGCGGACTGCTAGTCCCGTTGCTAGCAATATACTCTGTCAGGTCGACATCCCCGTAATTATCCCTGGCTGAATTCCAGGTATACTCATCACGATGGGCTAACTGATCTGCCTTTTTATACTCACTTGTCATTCCTCACTGGGATTACCATTCCATTAAGAAATTAATAGTTGATATTAAAAAAAAATATTGAGGTAGATTGCCAGCAGCTCAAGTTTAAGGACTCCTGCCATAGACAATTTTTTTTCTGTACTTTTTTTTTCTGTATATATTGTAATTTTGCGATCAATGCAGCTGGCAGCATATTACAAAGCATTTTTATTTCCCACATCAGTAATGCGTCGTCGGGTTAACTACGAGTATCATGCTTAGTAATTGAACATTAATGAGCCAGTAGGCACTACCTGGTGATTTTGTCCTCGACACGTGGCATTTCCCCCAAAGTTTATGCGCTTGACCCAAATATGGTTTCAAAGGCCGCTGTTGATGTCTGATATTTATCTAGATTGTATTGTAATAATGGGCTTGGATTGTGTATTTGTGGATAGAAGAATAATTAATAAACTAGATATTTAGCAGTAAGTGAACATCTGTTTGGCCATGTGGGCATATGGTCCCGGTATAGAATAGGCCACCCCTTCCTTTCCCGTGGGTGTCGTAAGAGCCGACTAAGGGAGAGCGAGGTATGGCCAGCAGCGTCCCCCTTAAAACATCTATTAAGTCTGACTACAGTTGTCAATCCGGGTGCCAAGCGTGGCAACTACTGGCAAAACTTCAGAAGGGAGGCTTATGTTCAGCAGTGCTTTAAAGTTAAAGGCTGGTATGATGCTGATGAACATTTGTTTTATTACGCTCAGTTCTCTATTGATTTGGTACCTATATATTGATAGGTAAAGTTCAAGCCAAAACAAAAAATAGAGGGACAGTCTCGGTGTCACAGTATATTATAGGATGTTCACGTTTGTGGGCTTTAAATTGAACAAAAATTATTCTAATCAATTATTTTTATTTTTGTTTATGACACCATTGACATGTTATAATGGTATAAACTGTTACTGCAGTTAGTGTTATTAACAGATTGGTCATAGAATTTTTATTTTTTAGAAAATTAGCTCAGTAGTTTAGTTTTTAAATCAAAGTAACCGGTTTTATCGCAATTGAAATCAGTTTTTTTTGTGGAAAATATAAAAAAATTAATTGATCAATTTAAAATTATTTTCATATATAAGCATAAAGTTTCCTACATAAATATTTTTAAACTCTTTGGAAACGCGTTTAGTCTACCATATTTAGATCTCATGTAGAGACAAGTTTTTAATATTGATGAGACCCAGTATAGAATATAGTGGATATTTTTTCATATTACAATACTGACAAGATTTGGCCAGAATAGAATAGAATAGAATTTTATTGCTAACTGTGTACATACATATAGCAGTAACCATTGCTTTGGATTTGACATCAGTATCAACAGTTATACCCTATCGGGCATGCAACAGTTTAAGAAAAACAATTATATTAACATCGAAACGTTCAAATGCTATTACCATTACTGGATTACAAATAAATATGAAATATTTGACATGAAATAACTTATAACTAATCAGACTAATAGTAAACCACTTCAATAGTCAATAGCTCCCGTCCCATCGTCTACAACATGTGAGATGTCATATCCCTTTCAGACCCAAGATTTTTTTTCTTTCAGATTAAATATATTTTCGTGTTTTGGAGCCAAGCCATCTTGCCGGCACGCACGAGACTACTGCACAACCTAACCGCTAAAATGATTTCTTATTGGCTGGTTTAGAATCTCACTATTATGTTATTTCAGCTTCGTGCGTAAAAATGAATTGCGGGCGGTTTTAGAATTTTTTAAAGTTACAACTCACGCCCGTATCGTTCAGGTCTGAAAGGAATATATGCGTTCCAAACCGGTAAAAAACGATCTCATACAGTAGTCTCCAAAACAAATTAAACAGGAAAACTTATTCCATAAACATTTCGAAATTATTTCCGAAACTGTTAGTTTGTTTGTGTCAACTTGTCCGTTATTTGTATTTTTTTTAATTTTAAATAAAAGTCTACAGAGGCAATTTTGATTTAAATTTCTCGCGAAAAAAGCAACGGGTATTATCCAATATGTTCTTTCTGTTTTAAACTCCCTAAATCAGGGGTGACCGACTTGACTCTAATCAAGACTTGGGTCTACCCAAGATCTACTGTTTTTTTTTTTTTTTTTTTTGGTGGATGAAAATGGTATGGTAACCCCGCCTGCGCTAACGGGATACGCTGGCGGAGCACCAGTGAAGGGTGATAGATGAGAATGAAAACAGGCCAGTTAGCCCATCATGATGAATTCATCAGGAATTAACCATTATAGTTTCCAGGGGGAACCCCAAAGGAGGTCTACGTGGTTAAGTATATTGCTAGCAATGGGATTTTTCGTCTCCATTAGTTAGTAAACAATCCCTTTCCCCCCTCCCCCCCAAGATCTACTGTTTACTGACGAAACCCTGTGCGATCTACCAATTACATACACAATATAGTCACAAATGAAATAACATAGTTCAATACATAATTATGTAATGTTGTAGTATTTTTTACTTTAAATTTTTATACATAAAACTGAAAATTATTCTGTAACTGCTTATTTATAGTAGTGTGAATATTGGGTCTGAACATTTTTCGCTATATTAGTCAAATATTATATTTTTTGCCTTGTTACGATCGACTGGACTAATTAATAGTCGCGATCGATCAGTTGGCCACCGCTGGCCTAAAGTAATTACTATAACTAGTAGATAATATAATAATATCTTATAGGGGGAAAGGGGTTGTTAGCAATGGAGTTTGACAGCCCTATTGCTAGCAATATGCCCTCTCAGGTCGACCTCCACGTGGTTCCCTTGGAAACCATCGTGAACAATACATGTTGAATTCGTCATGATGGGCTAACTGGCCTGCTTTATCCTCACCTATCATCTTTCCCTGGCGTCCCGCCGGTGTATACCGATAGCGCGGATGGGGTTACCATTCCATTATCACTTATAAAAAAAAATATCTTATAGATATAAATAGATTTGCCTTTATTGCAAATTGCAATGCGGCAAATTTCTAGCAATCAATTACATTAATTTAAATGAAACATCAGCAATAATATCATAACGATTGAATAGGCGACACGTGTGACTGACAATGTTTCTTGTTTGTAAAGCCGTGAAGGTCGCCGATCGATTGAAGTAATGATGGTCAATTACACCACTGTCCACCCGCCCCCACGCCGGTACTCCGTCAAAACTGGCGACGGGATTATAAAGTTTTACTAATAATCAATAATCCTATTACATTGTACTTTACAAATATGTTTTTCTTTCCTTTTCATTTATAATACTTAGAATGACAAATAAACACGACCTGACTCTTCACCTCATATTGTTTTTTTTTTTTATAAAAACTCCATGTTTTTATATCTTGTTTACAAAGTAGTAAAATTGTCAAAAAAATACTACTCAAATTTTTTCAAATCCATTTCATTTTTCAAATTTCTTTATCCAATATTGTGAAAAACGTATCCAATCTAACAATGCTGGTGTTAACCGTTGCCTATTGACATTAACCGTGGACCTCTCAGAGTACACTAATGATCATGGTAACTATTGTATGTTTTTTTTATACAACTTAAAATGGCAAACAAACTGACGGCCCACCTGATGGAAAGTGGTAATCATCGCCTATAGACATGAGCAGTACCATGGACATAACATGTGTTGCCATTCCGGTGTAACTCAGGTGTTATTCCTCTGTACCCTGTAAATTCACGCCATATCACACCCCTTCAAGCCGACAGTGAAGCAGTTGTTTTTGCATGGCTTCACAGCCATGCAAAAACAACTGCTTCACGGTAGAAACACAAATGGGACAGAGGAACCCAAGCAATCGAATTTTGCTTACCAAATCAAAGATTCAATTAAGGTAAAACATGTGTACAGTCTTGAACACTTTAAGGTTTGTCTTAAACTACTTGTTGGATATCATAATAATGTTTTAACTTATCATGCAACAAATTATTTCGCCATTAGAGAAAAGCAAAGATCTCGGTCTAAAATGTTCTTAGGGGAAAAGTTATTTTATTTCCATTCCATTCCACTGAGTTTTATTTTGTTTCGGCTTTCTAATATCCTTTACGATTAACCTTCTATAGATAAAATATTTACCTTTCCATCAACTTTCATGTAAATATGTAAATACTTATGCTACCTTTGGTGTCAATGTTTAAATATAATATTGGTATGTAACCTCAAATGAGATGACGTTTTTATAAAAAACTTAAGTATTATTTATTTTTTTATAAAAGACATCTGTCAACATTACATACTTTTCCCATAAAATTTCAGTTGTTAGTCTACTAAGCGGCGTTTTTGTTCCCACGTCACCGTCGTATTGTCTACTCTGTTATTGTGCGTCGATGCAGCGGGAGAGGTTACGTGTGAGCGGTCACACGCGGGCTATCGCGCGTGAGCTGTTCGATTGCCGGCCAGGGAGGGGGCACCACGCCGCCCAAGGTCAGCAGCGGCTGTCGGCGAGCGGGCCCGCGCGCCACCACACGCCCCATGCTGCCCGGACCACTCGCGCCCCTCGATCCGCGTAAAACACGCGCCTTGACCACCATCTACGCGCCGCGGAAATTCAAAACACGGAAACATAAAACGGCCCAATCCAGGATGCTCGACAATGACATCCAGATCAAATCAACGCTATCTCCTTTCCTTCCTTTACCCGCTATTGGACAGAAGAGCGAAAAACCCAAAACGAAAGTTATTGTTTTAGACTTAAACAAGAGCGAAGAGGGCGGTTTGGATAAGTCCTCTATCAAATTGCATGATGTATTGAAGCCATTGACGCCTCTGAGAATTCACGGGTATGTGAGAAAAAACTCTTTAGATCTTGGCAAAAAGAAACCCCAACAGCTCGTGCGGGAGAACACGTATGACGTTATAGAGCCAATTTATCTCAACGCGGCGAAAGTAAGGAAAAGAGACGCGTCAATAACAAGAAGAAATTTAACGACTGTGAATTCAGAAAGTGTAGAAACGAATGAAGAGTCACCGAAATATTCACCGAAGACGAGGTTCAAGAAAGCGGCTATACAAGTGGCGAAACTTACGTCAATGCCCGAAACGGGCAAGTTGTTAAGTTTAAGGGAAAGACAAACTTTCAATTTGTGCCTCAACGACGATGATAAATCTTCGTGTCATTTAGAAGAACTGCCAAAGAGTCCCACTCAAAAGCTGAATAAGCTTACGGAAATTTTTCAAAGCCTAGAAATGAAGGGACGACACAGAGATAGGATGAAAAAAGAAAACAGTTGGTTTTAATTGTTGGATGGAGTTCTAGAGTAAGATAGCGTTTTTATTTACGTGTTTTCTATACATATGAAGATGATTATAAAAAAAGGAATCCATTTAAGTGATAATGTTAATAAAATAAGAGTTTATTTTTGTTAATGGGTACAAAATGTTTAACGTATACGAGAAATAATGATATTTCTGATATTGCTCAAAGTTTTAGTGTCGCGTACGTACTTGACTGTTATATTAAAGTGTGTCTTTTTCTAATATCTTGTTTATTTATTTAATCAGGTATTTTGTGTAAGGTGAGAAAAGGTTAATCTGAAATAGTAAGTTTAATCCTGGCCAATTCTACAATATTAGGTGTTTTACAAATTTCCTTTATATTCTTTTGGTGATTATATTTTTTTAAACAACTTAGAGGTGCATTTAAGCTAAACTAAAAGTGGTAACCGTCAAGTGGTAACACATGTGAATATGAAGCACCATGGATATAACAGAATATACTATGACGCCCATGCTATCTCCCTCACAAGTTTTGATTTTTCAAGAATAAAGTGTTATGCCTCCGTACCTAACCTGTAATTTCACCTGTATTTATTATTAATTAATCCAAGATTGTAGGAGCTTGGCCGTTCATAACAAACATGCTTACGGCCCGCCTGATGGCATGGTTTATGTAAACTTTTAGTTTTTACTAATGATGTAAAAGTGAATTTTTAATCCGAAAATGCCCGTCTTGCAAAAGTGGTAACTGTTATTTACAGACATGAACATTGCAGAATATACTGTGCCGCCTGTGGTATCTCCTATCCATTACTTTTCCTGGATACTAGAATGTTATTTTTATTTTCATTATTTCAACTTTTTTCTTTTTATATCACGAAGGTGCCATGTTTGACACATACAGCCCGTCTGATGGTAAAAAGTTACTGTAGACTATGGACGCCTGCTACACTAGGAAAGTCACGTGCGCGTTGCTGAGCCTGAAGACACCTTAATATGCCCTTTTGAAGAACCCCATACTGTAGTCTTTAGAAAAAACCTCGACAGGGAGCTCATTCCACAGCCTAAGCATTCGGGGCGAAAATTACTTTGAAATTGGGTCGGCAACGTGCGCGTAATACCTCTGGTATTGCAGGCATTCATAGGCTATGGTAACCGCTTACCATCAGGTGGGCCGAATGCTTGTTTGCCACCTTAGTGATATAAAAAAAACTTCATTGTATGTGATCATTTAACTTCAGCTTATGTTATGCACCGTACTCTGTAATTATCAGAGGGAGACTTTGTACAAAAGTCGATTGCTTGGGTACCTCTGTCCCATTCGCGTTTCAACCGTGAAGCAGTTGTGTTTGCATGGCTGTGTTTCGGTTTGAAGGGTGGGATATGGCGTGAATTTACTGGGTACAGAGGAATAACACCTGAGTCCTCAGGAATGGCAACGCATGGGGGTATCATGGGCGAAACAGTATACTCTGTTATGTCCATGGTACTGCTCATGTCTATAGGCGACGGTTACCACTTTCCGTCAGGTGGGCCGCCAGCTTGTTTGCCATTCTAAGTTGTATAAAAAAAGTCTTCTTCTGGTATTATTATAATAGTCATGTAATGTATAGTAACAATAATTATACATTACGTACATTATATATGCATGAAAAAGAACGAAAAATGCTTTTTATCTTAATTCATTCATAATGTCCTGGTCACGTGAGGTACACACACAGAAAATAATAAAATAAAAAAATAAACTTCTACTTGATAGAGTTGACAATGACCTCTAGTTCATGATATACCTTCTTGCCTTACTCATAATATATTTGCCTTGGATACCGTGCTGTGTAATGAACGTTACGCTACCTATCTACTGCTTACCTCTAGTATATTTGTATTTATAGAACCTTGACCTTGCTCGAATTGGTCAACAAGTGGCGGAATTGGGCAACAAATCGTGTTTGTTTGTTTGTACTTTCTTGGTACAAAACAAGTCGCGTGTCTCTTAGGTTGGTATTGTTTTGAATTCCATATTTATTTATTTATTACTAACTTTTACTCGCGAACCTTTTATCCGTTATCATGAATTGTTAATGAATTTGTCACGATGGGTCAAATGATTTGACTATATCCGCGTTTATCATCAATAAACTCCGCCAGCATTTTTGATTTGTCACTCCATTAAATAAAAACAATTTTTTTTATGGTTAAAATGGAATGGTAACCCCGCCTGCGCTAACGGGATACGCTGGCGGAGCACCAGTGAAGGGTGATAGATGAGAATGAAAACAGGCCAGTTAGCCCATCATGATGAATTCATCAGGAATTAACCATAATAGTTTCCAGGGGGAACCGCGAGGAGGTCGACCTGGTTGGATATATTGCTAGCAATGGGATTCTCAATCTCCATTACTAACAATCCCTTTCCCCTCCATATAAAAAACAATTGCTTAGCGGCAGAAATGAAGGAAGGAGGATTGCAAAAGTATCCAAACAAAGGATTTCTGTACAAAATTTCCCTCTAGTAAAACAAGTAAAGCCGTGTGGTCCCGATATAGAATGGGCCACTCCTTCCTTTTCCGTGTAGGTATGTCAGAAGAGTAGACTAAGGGAGGGCGATGGATGGACAGCAGCGTCTCTCTTAAAACATCACTAATAGCCTAACTGTGGTTGCCAACCTGCCTGCCAAGCGTGACAACTACTGGAATAATTTCCCTTGTGGGGAAAGGCTTATATTCAGCGGTGGACAGTTATTGGCTGAAATAATAAAAAAAAGATATGAAACAAAACTGGCCATTGTACCAACCAACCACATTTCTATTATGTGTTTGCGTATAAAGCAGGCATATAAATATTTAGACAGACAGGCAGTCGGTTAATGACACCTTTCTCTACCGGAAGCTTGAAAGTGTGCCGTGCTTTCTTGGCTTGATAATCGTGCAAATTTCCTCAAATCCATGAAATACGAGTGACAAGCTTTTAGCCGCGACTTCTTTCGCGTCACCGCACTGTATCACTGATTTTTTTTTATAAGATGATAATTAAATGGTAACCCCGCCTGCGCTATCGGTATACCTACACTGGCGGGCTACCAGTGAGAGGCGATAGCTGAGGATGATAAATCAGGTCTGTTAGCCTATCGTGACGAATTCAACGATAAATTAGTCACGACAGTTTCCAGGGGGAACCGTGTGGAGGTCGACCTGTTAGGGTATATTGATAACAATGGAGACTAACTTCCCCATTACTAACAATCACTTCACCCTTTTTTTGTATGTTGTATCAGCCGTAAACTGTTGGGGTTTACGGCTATAAGGGGGGTTTTGCCAGTAGTTACCGCATTTGGCAGGCCGGTTGACAACCGCAGTTTCGCTTTTGGTGATGTTTTAAGAAAGACGCCGCTGCCCATACCTCGACCATAAGTTCTCTTTGTCGCCTCTTACGACACCCACGGGAAAGGAAAGGGTGGCCCATTCTATGTTACATATTTATTGAAGCTGATTGATGATGGTTTAGAAGTCATGACGAAATATGCCCATAAATAGGATGGATAATGCTAATAAATGAGCGTCCATCATGCGATGTGTTACCTACGGATTTATTAAAATCGTCTGTAGTCAGGTAATGAAAACAATATTGTAAACAATAACAGGCTTGAAATAAAAATAATATTAAAATGTAATGATACAAAGAGAGGGTGACAGTAACACAGGCTTATATGAGAGGTTAATGCAAGTCATTCAACTTGAATTTATGAGTGGTCGGGCTTTTATAAAAATTCATAATCATATTTTTATGTTTTATTTTACTTTGAAAAAACATTTAGATGTCGCTGCGTATGCAAATCGTTTTTAGAGTATATATAACAGGTATTTTTTACAACATAATTACCGATTTTATTTTAGAAAATTTACGAGTAAATTAAAAAAAAAGCATAACACATTTTGACAAAGCGGCGGACATCTTGCACTGCGTAAATGTGTGGTGTGTGTGGGTTCCAAATTCGATTCCTGGTTGTGCAGTTTAGAAAATGAACTTTTGATTTGGTTCGTGCCTGGGTGTTCTGGGCTGCATGCGTGCGTGCGTGTGTGCGTGCGTGCATGCGTGTGTGTACATGTGTGTGTGTGTATGTATGTGCGTGTGTATGTGTGCGCGTGTGTGCGTGTGTATATGTGTGTGTGTGTGTGTATGTTCGTTGTCTGTTTTTTCATAACATAGATTATCCTAGTTTGAAGACCAGGCGATCGGTATGATTGTGTGACGTTTAATATTATTAAAACTTTAAGTATAGATCATAAAATAAAAAAAAAATCACAGATTTAAACCTAGATGGTGTTATTATGTTAAATTTTCATGCTCCTTCCATAAACTATTATAAAGAGGTTCATTTACTAATTATTAGTCAATCTAATAGAATATCTTTATTTAATAACCCATATAGCTATTAGCTATAGTAAAGCTTGTCATGACTATCCAACTGTCCGTTCATCACGCGATCTGTCGATACCTTCATGAGCCTTTGCATGACCTACATTTCTGTTTGCTACACTCCAATATACAGTTTCAACTAATAATACTGTCCACTGTCTAAAAATAACTAAATATACGGTACGTACATTCGTGAAAAGGAAAATTAGTTTTAACTCCGTCTTATGTTATTTTTTTTTTGTTTTTCTATTTAAACGTAATCTGCCTCAATTTAGAGGCAAATGTAAATAGGCTATTCGTGGGCCCACGAGCCCCATATTAGACCACATCATTTCTTGCAATCAGGTGGGATTGTAATCAATTGCGGGACTCTTTAATAGTAAAAAAAACAGCTTTAAATTATAATATGCAAACAAAAACGTAACGACTCTTTTTTATCCACAGGATGCAGTCATTAGCGTATTAAAAAAAAAATTTTAAAGAGACCTATCACCTAGACAAAGTGCAAGCAAAGCATTGTTATTAACAGATTTTTTTTAGAGCAGAATAGAATTTTATTACTGACTGTGTACATACATATAGCAGTAACCATTGCTTTGAATTTGCCATCAGTATTAACAGTTATACCCTATCGGGCATGCAACAATTTAAGAAAAGCAATTATAATAACATTGAAACATTCAAATACTATTTGGTAATAGTATTGTCAAGTAATCAAGTATTGGTATACTTGATTACAAATAAATATGAAATATTTGACAATATAATTAACAAGACAAAGAATAATCATAACCAAATTAAAATAAAATAGACATAAATTCGCTTACATGTCAATTATTATAAATTTAATGAGTTCAACGTAGACATAACAAAAAATAAGATAGCACAAGTCGTCGTCTCTTTCTATCTCATGCACTCTCTAGCGATAAAGATTCTATCAATAGGATGCTTTTGATTTGTCTAAGGAGCTTGGCTCTTCAAATAAAACATACATGTAAATTTAAATTATCAGAGATGTTTTTGCGAGGCTTCCCTCGCATCTTGGAGTGGACACCAGATAATTCTACTTGGGCATAGTGGAAAGTGGTGAATGGCAGCTAAGGGAACAAAGCAATAG